ATATTATATATTAATAATATTATATATAATATTATAAGCTCTAAACAATTTTTTTTATTGTGTAAATAAAAATCATAAAATGTATAATATAATAATTAATAATTTATATAATTAATATAGCAATTTAATTATCTGTTTCATGTAAATTATGTTCAAAATTGGTTGAATAATTTCTTAACCAAAAAATACATATTTTATAAATTCATACATTAACATCATGCAATCTCATCTGTATTATTATATATAATCTTTTCAATATACATTAAATAAAATAAACAAATTATAGAAAACATTAAAATGCACATATATATTTTTTCCACTATAATATATATATTTTTTTACTTACACATAATGTGTGAGTACGTTTATAAAAGTATAAGAACTGTTCTTGTTTATTTTCTCGATCATGACATACGATATATAATTTGAAATTATTGCGCGTATAAGAGATAATACAGAGATCTTGTTTATACTTGCATATCAGCTGAAACGTCAGCTGGACCCGGCTCCCAGCATCGACTCTAACCTCACTTTCGCGAAACTCGCAGACCTCGAATTCTATCCGAGATTCTTATCTCTTGGATAAACTCTCTCGAGTCACAAAATTCGAAACAATCAATTCACGGATTATTTAAAATATATGAAAAATACATTTCCAGACTTACGGTTCGGCAATGACCGGCGCGATCTTCAACATTGTTGACAGGAATGATTGATCTTTGCAGACGAGAAGGGGTCTTTGTGGTGAGCTGTTCACGTTCAATATTCTGAATAGAATACACAGGATCACGGCAAACACAGCTAGTAAAGCAGTAGACATATTTCCTTAGATCTCGCGTTGCCCTGAAAGAAATATCCCACCTTTTCTGTATTCGCTCTCTATATCTCCTCCAGACTTTTCAAAGTAATCGCGCGACTTTAGTTTCTGTCTTTAAAAGATCATAGCTCAAATATCTTTTAGTATCTTGTTATAGTCACTATATGTCACTAAGTTTTTTTGACTCTGTGAAATATGTTTCTTTTTTCTCTCAGCGACATTAGTTATACCATCTGTTAAGTTTTTGCTAAAGTCATATTATTTTTTTTACCTCTTTAAATGTTATTCTTGAAGTTACGTTATCTTCTTTTATAGTTTATATGGAACGATAACAGGTTATGAGTAAGGCTGCAACGGCAGTGAACGAATACTGAAGCCGCGTGACCTGCAAGCAGAAGTAATTCTAATTAAAATGTAGAACTCAATTCTGATATCGGATGATAGGTAATGAAAATGCAGAACGACGTACATGCCGGATGATGGATTGTATAAATCAGCTGGAAAAATATTGTTAGAAAAATAAAAGATATATAACGAAATGTAAAAAAGTCGCACAGAGGCAGTAAATGCAATATATATTGCGATTGTGTATTACATCATATTGCATTCTCAGTTATTTAATCGTTATGTTTACATAAGGTACAACGAGAAGAATACCGATAATTATCATCGATGATATAAATAATAAATAAATTCGATGGTCTCACGCATTTCTTTAATCAATCGATATTTACAGAAAAAGTTCAATTTATAAATCAAGAATGTTTTTAACGCTTCGGATTGAATAAGATCGAGATGACAAATATGCAAAATATGACGGTCCATTATTTAATGTCATCGACTTGACAGCGAAGATTTTTGAATTTAAATATTTCTTTTTTCGAATTTTTATTCCTCACATCGCGGCGTAATTAGCATTTTACGCTAACTAAAAAGTTTCTATAACAAGACAATTCCTTATTCTCCAAATTCGATGTTGAAAAATAAGATATCGGAGACCAAGATAAGTTATTAATGATAATCGCAACTAATTAATCCATCTTTCTAAGTCATTAATTCCCACGTGCGAATCCCTCCGACAGCGAATTAATTAATTGATTATTGATCCTCTCTCTATCTTTTTTAGCATAACTTTAGCGTCAACATTACTGGATAATCTATATAAATAAGTAACAATAATAATAAAGAAATAAATAGAGATAAAAAGTCGCCGGAGATCTCCGTCCTATTCACACCCATCTCATAGTGTTCGCACTATTGACAAGAGTGCTCGACGAAAGACAGAGGGGAATTAATGACCGTGCTATTCGCTTTCGGATAATTTCTGCTTACCAAATGTGCAACCAGCGAATTCCGATGGGCGAGATGTGATAATTCTATCCGTTTGTGAATAAAAATTGATAAAAACTATTATTGCGACCGGCTCGCCGGCGTTTCGTTTCACAGACTCGACACGCAAATTACATCTGTTCCCGTCAAGATCCACCGGACGACTGACATCTATACGCGTCAGCGATAAACACGCTGACAGAATGGAGGGTGGAGCGGTCCGTTTCGCACTTCTCCCTCGCAATATGAAAGAAAGATGAGGATATATATATCATATATATATATTATATTATTCATATTTTATATTAATATTTTTCTGTCCGTTATATTTTATACCAAACGTAATTTATATATTATCTGATTTTTATTCGCGATAAATTGCGCTTGTATATATTCTAGTTATTCCTTATCGTAATTTTCCACGTTCTTTATTAAATTTTTCTTGCGTAAATATTAGCTCGCGAATAAATCATCTGCCTCCCAATATTTTTATCTTGTACTTAATTTTAAATTTGAATTCTGTTTGTTAAAATAAATAATTTATATATAAATTTATATATAAATGTGCAATGTAATTAAATTTGAAATTTATATAGATCGAAATATTTGACGTTTCAATTACATTATAATATTTAGACGCAAAATAACGAAATTGTTTGAACTACTATCTCATCGTGATCGAAAATATTTTGAAAAAAAGATATATTATATATAATGGTACATGTATATATACAATATATATAGACCTTATGATTTTTCGAAACTCACAATAGGTAAATACATCAGTTAATGGCTTGTACATATTTAAGGTCAAGGATGTTTAAGAGCACATACATAGATTCGAAGGTCGGTGACTCAAGATTTTTCATGCGTCACGAATGCGTAACAAATTACTATAAAAGTCGATGGTTAAAAGATCTTTACGAGAAACATCATCTTCGAAACACTAAAAGGTGCCAATCGTTGTCAGAATCTTGGTGATGCAACAAACCGGAAGAACATCTCGCTTAAAAGAAGATTTGAAAACAGATTACACAAAAGTCAAAATTCCGCCGATTCATTCTGCCTACGACGAAAACTGACATATCAATATAAATTTTTCCTTAGCATGGAAAGTGTCCTAAATATATTGTCTCGTATCGATTAATTCTGAGAAATTGGCGGTCGATAAACTTATTTTTATTGATGTAATTATTATAAGTTGATATGGCAACCCGAGTTGTGTTTATTCCATGGTAGTATGTACGACCGTGGTTTATTCCAATTCGAGTCAGACTTTTTACATATACGAGAATGCGACAAAAATGAAAGAACAATAATCAAAAGTATTTTAGCATTATTTTAAAGGTAATTAATTAATAGTAATCATATATATTTATAAAAAAGCGAATATATTCATTATTAATAAATAATATTTATTATAATTTGGATATCAAGGTATTAATCGAATAGTTTTTAACAATGGCAACGCGTGGAAAAAGCAAGAAAAAGACCGGCGTGAAAACTAATGGAAAGAATAATGGAAAAAGTGCTAAAGATGGCAATGGTAACAAGAATAAAGGATCAAAAAAATCGAGAAGAAGTGGTGGGAAAGCAAGATTTGCTATGGATATCTTTAACGAGGAGGTGATGGAAAATGCTTATTATACATGTCACAATATTATGGACGTGCTTAAGTGCCGAGGTTTCCCATGGCCAGAAGCTCAGAAAAAGAAGAAAGGAAAAAAAAAGAAATAAATAATTGCACTAATGCCTGAAAATATGTGCTTTTATGGAAAAAATAGTTTTAACATGATATATATAAATATATAAATATAGATATAATATATAAATATCATATATTTATAAATCTTATATATATATATATTTATACATGTAAAGCACATATAAATAATATAAAAATTAAAGCGCGCTAACTAAATATTAACATAAGACTTTTTTTCCTTAACATTAAGTTGATTGCAAATGCTGTTAAAAATATAATTTATCATATCTTAAGGCACGCTAACTTACGTTCTATATATTTTTAAACGTTATATTAATTTTTACATTTCTCTCCTATGTATCAGCTGTGGATGCAAAAGAATTGATGTAAGCCTCTGTATCGAATTCAAATTCTTTATCATCTGTGTTAATAACTGGCCCATTTAAGACACAGTGTACTGTCACTGTTTCTGCATATGATAAATCTAACAAAAGCTATTAAAACAACACGATTAATAAAAGTTATCATTAATAAAATTGAATAATACTATTACACTTACTTTTGGTGTGAGCAGAAAATATTGAGAACTGCCTGGCCTTCCTGTCATTTTAACGAGTAAGTTGAAGACTCGATTTTCGTTAACTGCATCCATGCCCTAGAAAATAATCGCGAAATATTTAAATTGTAAAAAAATATAAAATATGATATATAAATTATGTAAATATGTTATGCGCAATAACAAACTTTTAGAAACGTGTAATAACAAACCTGATTAATTTCATCCACACAGCGGAACGGCACGCGCGACAATTCTTGCAACGCGATCATGTAAATGGCAGTAGTTACAGTTCTTTCGCCACCGCTTTGAAAATGTCTTGTTAATTCTTGCAATTCATCTGCATCTCGGAATTTTACTCTGATTTTTAAACCGTATTGATCAAAATCCAGCTGGAAATATATCTAGTCAATAAAAGAATTTTTATTTCATATGTTGTATATACCATACATATAAACTTACAACATCTTCACCATGCGCAAGTGTAACTTCGCCAGCACAATCCATTGCAGAAAAATAGGAACTAAAATTCGTGTTTATCCTTTCAATCAGCTGCTCCAACAATGGTAACCATTTATCTTTTAATCTTTTAATCTCTTTTGTCATTTCTTCTAGTTTAATAGTCTTCTGTTTGATGAACTCAGTCAAGTTTTGAATATTATTTTGTATTTCCTCATATTCACGCAACACCTAAAGATGTAAAAAGAAAATACTCAATTGTTATTTTTATCATATAAATAATTTGTAACATGGTAAAAGAAATCAATATACAAATAAAACAATTTAGAGCCAGCGCCGGTTTCGCATACTATGTTAAAAGAATATCTTCCATTACATGTCATACTTACATTCTCGGCATCTACATTTTTCGCCATACAGAAAACTTTTGCTTGAGCAATATGTAATTCTTTATTTATTTCAGTTATAGTAGCCGGTAATTTTTCAAAGGCTTTATTCAGAGGTTTAAAGGCGTTATCTTGTGGATTAATATTATTTGTGCTTGTCAATGCTTCATTATACAGTCTTTCAGCTTCTCTCTTTAAAGGTTGAAACTCTTCATCGTGTTGCTTAAATATCCTCTCTGCATTTGTAAACATATCCTTCAAATCTGCAGCCTCATTCTCTTTAATTACTAAAGTTTGTTGTAGTAAGGCTATTGCAAATTTGACTTCGTCATTACTTGTAACGCAATTAAAACATTCCTTCAAAATTGTGTTATATTCTTTATACATTTGTAATTGTTTTTTCATAATAGCCTGTAGAGAATTCAATAAATATAAATGCAGATTTTGTACATTAGACAAAAAAATGTTTATGATAATATATATTATTTAAAAAAAACCTTAATCTCTTTAGCGCATGCAGCTTTTATATTATCAATACTCGTTCGGTCCATCTCCAGTTGTTCAATTTTGTTAGTAGCTATGCGTATTCTACTTTTCAATGCTTGAATGTGCTGAATATTTTGTTGATATTTATTTCTGTCAGTCCGATATTTTTCTAATTCTTTAGTTTCTTCACATATTTTATCTTCTTCCTGTTTAATATCAATTAGGATTTGACTCTTCTTTTCTTGCAAATTGTTTAACCTGAAGCAAATATGTATCTTTGGATAATGTGTTTAAATTTATTATTATATATTTTTATTCATTTTTTAATATACCGTTCTTGGAGTCTCTGTAGTTTAGATTTATCTAGAACAATTGATAGCATGCCATTTCCATTGACCTGTGATATTCTGGTCGATGTTGTGCGCGTGTATCTAGATATATTCACAGAATAAATGTTGTTTTCTGCAAAGAAAATTCTATTAAATTTACAGTACAAAATCGTATTTGTAAAATTCAATGCGTGTAAAAAATTTATTTTACCACTAAAATAACAACTTAAGCTGCGAGGTATACGATCTGTATTATTCTCGACTTCATTGTTTCCAACAGGAATATTGTTTAATTGATACATCGAAACCAGATATGTCATTATGACAGGCGGCGCTTCAATAAGTGATGCTAAATAATGCTTAAAGCCAAACTGTTTAATGTCTTGTAATGATATATTTGGTGGCATAATTCTTTTTGTAGTATCAGAATAAATTGCATTGACTTGTAATTTCTGTTGGTCCCTCAGGTACTTCAATAGCAGATTCATATCCTGTTTGTTTTCGCATGTAAACGCAACTAAATCCCGAAACGGTATTATGTTTTCTAAATACTTGGCATATGAAGCTTCTTTTACATTGATACTGAGCAACATGGGCTCATACACTGTAGCCGAAAATTTGTCACGATTCTCTTTCAACCAAAGCACACCTTTATATGCGTCAGGGCTCACTCGTTTCAAGAGTTCTAAACGCTTCACATCAATATTGAGAGATTGATGTTCTGCTTGCACAGCTACAATCATAATTTTAATTCATAAATTTAATAGCAAATAAACATAGTGACTGTTAACTGAAAATAATATATAATATACAAGTTTATACTTCTTATTTCACGGCCAATGTTTTCTTCTTCATGTTTCAATATATTCTTTTTATTGGTGAAATTATCCATTATTCTTCTATGTTCTTCCATATTACTTGCTATATTCTGCAATTGCTTTATTAAACTTTCCTCTGAAACATATGATACATATTGTAGTACATATACACACATATACACATTTTCTCTCTTTCTCTCTCATCAATATTTATTATTATTCTAAACAATTAAACCACCAATTACAAACCTGTTCCAATTTCGTTAATCATAAGAGAAAAATCATTTTCCAATTTGCTTTTCTGTTGTTGTGCAAGATTAATTTCTTGATCTCGATTCTCTTCTGTTTGAATTCTACGTGAACATGTATTTTCAGATTCTTTAATCCTGTTTTCATAACTAAGAATCTCATTTATCACGGTTTTCAATTTCGTATTTTTAGCATTAACTTTGTTGTTCTAAAAATATGTGACATATTTCAAATTGTTAATATAAAACATACTATTGAATCAAGTAATTTTTTGGATATAGCAGTCTTATTTTGTGTTACTTACATGATCATTTAACGACTTTTTTAACGTTGTCATATCAAACTGTATTTTTTCAAGTTTCTTTTTTATTGGTATTAGTTTAATATCTATTGATTGCATTTCTTTTGCTGCTGTATCTCTGATTTTCTTAGACTGTTACAATAAGATTTCAGTAAAAATATAATACAAAATGTTACTTAACATCACATATAAGAATTAAAATTAAAATTTTTTTGTATACCTCCACTAATTTTCTGCGCATTTCCTCGTACAGCATCCATGCCTTTTTTTGTTTCAGTGTTGTTATTTTTTTCTTTATCAACTTTCTTTCTTTTATTGTACTAACAGTTTGTTGCAATCCATCACGTCTCTGAATTTTAGATTCCAACAATCTTTTTTTATTTGCTACATCAAGCTCCAATTCCTTGAAACTGGTCCTTATTTTCTTCAGCGTTTGATGATATTCTAAAAGTTTTGGATCTCCAACAGATCTTTCAGTATTTTCTAACAATGCTTGGGCATCCATTTTCGAAAAATCTTGTACTTTATCTTGCGGTAGAAACTGACAAAGATTGTCAACCTACAAAAGGCAACAAGCAACATCAAAAAATACATTTTATGGATATAATAATATAATATATAATAATAAAAAAAGCGATATATACCTGAATATTAAGACTGGATGTGAATTCTTGTACAGCTTTTGCAGATGACAGAGCACCATTAACCATCCATTTCGATGTTCCCTCTTTGGTAAATGTCCTGACTATTACATGATCCTGTTTATTGCCATTCTTCAAATAAATTTCTATCTTTGCAGATTGACATCCATACTTGACATATTCTCCTATATGAAGTGCTCGTCCAATAATATTAGGTTTGCCACCTAAGCCAAGAACTATAGCGGCAACAATAGTAGACTTGCCAGAACCATTAGGTCCAACAATGACATTGAGATACCTGGCAGGATTTACTATGGCACTGTCATAAGTCCTGTTTGGTTAAGAAATATTGAAAGCATACATTAAACACTAAATTATTTAACAGAGTTAATATATAATGTAATATAATACGAGACAATAGAATGTAATATAATACAATACATAATGTTCAGAAAGAAAGATAGAAAATATATAAATAATATATTAATAAAAATAAAAATTGTAATTTTTCACTCTTACACAAAATTTTCCAGATATATGCGCGTGATAATTCCTTTCTCGTCCATCTCATTAGGTTAAGTTAAGAGAGTTAGATTTCAATATTTGTAAAAGATGACTACAGAATGCAATAAATGAAGCTCGCTAATAACAATTGAAAAGTTTCCAATGATAAAAATGAGATAAAACTGGTTCTTCTTGTTACTCAATTTATATTTGCAAAACTATTACACGTGTATCGGATGGCTCTAATAACGCCGAATATATTAGAATATACAGTATTAAATAGAATTCTCATTTACCGCCAAATATGTACCATACCGACAAACGGAGTTAAAGGCTGCGGTCGAGAAGATACTAGAGATGTTTCGAAGCATTGCATTAACCAATTAGAATAGAGAAATCTTTATTCTTTTTGTCCTGATTGGTCAATCAAACGCTTGGAAGCGTTTGTAGCGTCTTCCCGACCGCAGTCAGAGACATCTAGTATGAGTTGCAATGTATCAGCGTTTATGTCAATTGCATTCTCTCTTACGTGCACACTGCACATTTCATTCCTTTCTTCTTTCTCTAAAATAGCAACTTCTGGTTCATTTTTTTATCGAGCTGCATCTTGTCTGAAATATCAAATATCTGTATCTTATTTTAGAGACAGAAAGAAAATACAGTTATATGAGTGTCTCAGACGCATTAATCATGTGCTAAAATCCAATACAAAATATTAAATATTAAAATTAATATATTTTTTTTTTTTTTTTTTTAATGCAAAGAGAGTTTGACTTTTGAGAGGTTTATACATAAAATCGATAAATCTATTAGTTTTTTATTTCACATAAGCGTAGTATCGAATTAATAATGTTTAAGAAAAATATTGTAAAATTCTAACAAAATTTTTAATTGTTTTTAGAATGAATATGCAGAAATGATATATTGACTATACAAAGAATTTTTTTTTTAAACTCAATAAAAATTTTTTTTCTTCTGCCATTACATATTGATATGATATATTTTTTATTATCTTCTTTTACTTGTTTATATATGCGTCTATTATATATCAGTTATATATATTGATAATGATCACATATGTTGCAAAATATTTTGAATAATTAATTATTCTCGAGCGTTTTCAATATGAAACAGGTCGAATCCTTTAAAAACTTGTGTCTTTTTACATAGAAATCGTTACAGCTGTTGTAGATAATTTGCAATGAACACGAAGTTTTTGGGAATTTTAAAAATATCTTGTTTCAACTGCCTATAAATCATTTTATATCGATATGTATTGATAAATAGTTTTGACATTTTATTGGGACAAACTTGAAAATTATACGAAACGAGAAGAATTTAATAGTATATTGTAGGTTTTTTCTTCAAATAAATCCTACATCAATTTCTCGTTTTCAAGGCGTACAATTCCGCGCATACATATCAAAATATTTAAAAAAATATTTTTGAAATGAAATTAATATTTAAAAAAATATTAATTTCACATTTTCGTTTGTGTACATGAATCAAAATATACTGTCCCATAACTTGAAATGTTTCTCTCTTCATTTCACGCACACATAATATCATTTTTATTATATAATTTCTTATCTAATAATTTAAAATTATACGTAAATATATCTCAAAAGGTTCTTTCTAGATATACTTTCAAGGATGTATCGTACGTATCGCATTTTTATGCATAAATTTTTTGTTATATTGTTAGTATGATTATTATCGTTGCATTATAAAGAGATAAGTAATAAGCATGCTACTTTATGTGGAACGTCGTGCGTAAACACGTAGAAATATTTAAAACGGAAATATTCATGTAAAACAGAAATCCATAGCGCAAGTGCACCGGACCAAGCAGAATTACGTAAAATGCTCGCGCATAAATTGAAATTTTGCGCATAAATAATATATGTATTGTATGGAGAACATTCAAATAAGCAGAGACGTATGATAAATATGCGTTTATGCTGAATAGCTTTTAAATTTTAAATGCGCTTAATATGTCTTTACATTTCAAAAAGTGCAGGGTAATTATTGCGTTCATCGCAAGAAGACATGCACAAAAGAGGCTTTAAAAACGATAGCCCTCATGCGCCTATATCTGTATATTAAATAAAAAACATAAGGCAATTATGCTATCTATAATAAAAGGCTTTCTATGATTATAACGTGTTATTTATAATAATTTCTAATGTACTAATTTTGTCTACTTTACAAATGCAATTTTACAATTTCTAGGCTTTAAACGAAAATGAAACATAAAAATAATATAAGGAACACGATAAGGAATAAAACATGTACGTGTGTGTCTGATACAAATAATCTGTAACTATAAGAGGCGATCGATTACAAAGTATAGACTAAAATATCAAATAAATAAGTCTGTGTGGCAATCCTATAGTTATCTCTGATATATAAAAGGAATGTCTTTTTCCTTTCATCTGTAAATTCTTTAACCCATCATTTGGATATTTCGACAATCTTGTAAAGAAAAAAATCAGTTCTTAATTGATCAAAGAATCCATAAATTAAAGAAGACGCGGTAAAGTTTGGGGAATACTTTACATATATTATTATTTAGAATTTGCCGGAGACCATTTCGATTTAAAATTTTGATACTTCCATTTTATTTTTCTATTATTGAATTTTTTGTTTGAATTGTTTTCACGTCTTTTACCTAAAGTAAGAACATAATCATATTTAAAGTGGATGTTTAATGTTTAATTTCCGAAAACAACTCGAACAACTTGTTAGAAATACCTTTGTCCTTCAAGTTTCACTTGTCAACGATAATTTGATGAAGTTTCGTTAAGACGTAATGTGATCGACGCATTATCGTAATGATAATGTTTGTACCATTTCATCCCTTTTGTTATCGCTGAAACACAAAAAAACACTCAGCTTGAAGTAATTTGTTGTCTATAGACCATAACGTACTTGTTAACAATTTCATCAGTCGAGGGAATACGTCGATTAATTTTAATCTAGATAATAGCATTGTCCTTGCATCATAACTCGGTTTATCAACATTACATTCGTTACGCATACGCCTTTCACGGCGATCTATATCAGTGTTTCTCAAAACACGCGCGACGCAATTCAACAGCGCTTTAGTGTATAATATTATGTACAATATAAATACAATTCGTTTTAATAGACTTGCAAAAATAATTTGAACTCATCATTATCTGTGTAAATTAAGAATAAATATTGAGATGACAGTATATTTTTTGAATTGAGTAAAAAATTTTATATTTAATATTACGATAAAATAGAATCAGAAATATTAGATCTCGGAGAGATTTGTGGATGCATAATAATGTCGAACATCCTATACGCGCAATATATATATACATA